TTCACGGTGGCAATAATCTGATTTTCCCTCCCACTGCTCCGTGTTCTAAGTGGGTCTCTTCCAGATGTCCAATTCAATGACGAATTCCTCCATAAAAAATTGTATTGAATACTCCTTGTACTATCTAGTATGATTCTAATGATCAATAAACCCTTGAAACTGAGTAATTCTATCCTCTCATAATCCTTATATATTTACATAGTATCGGGTTATTCTAGATTATGGGGTTGCCATTCCGGATCGCACCGTGTGTTATGCTCTTCTCTCCCCGTAAACAGCCCACGGTAGAAGCACTAGTAGGAATCAACATATTTGTCTTCACGTTTATAATCTCTGAGTCTAATATTTATTCAGAGGTAAAAAAGTTTTCGGTAGGTTTAAGGCCCATAATTTCCTTCTTTCTTTCAAACAGAAGAAGAAAAACAGGTTAATGAGTAAACATTCTATTTCACTTTTAAACTTGGCCTAAGAAATGCAGACCGACCTATTTCTTAAAAAAGGAGTTGCTGAGAGGTTTCGGGGAGGAAAGCGATGCCGTCAGGGCGAGCAGTATTTGAACCCCGAGCGAAGTAGGATTCTCGGCGGTCCTTCTGTGGACACAGCCAGGCGCTTCTCCCCGGTGTCCGCTGCCAGCGACACTGAGTCCCAAGACATACGGACAAATGTTCCAGTTCTCCACGAAGGAACTGTTTCTACTTTTGAGTCGGACTGATAACTGTCAGAATGTTAAAAACCGTGACTACTGGGTAGACAGACTACTGCGCTCAAAGTAACTTTGAACACAGCTTTGCGACAATGCTGGTGTGAGTCCTACATTATTTTTCAGTCAAAATGCACTATTTCCTGTGCAAAGATAATCTCAATCTATAATTAGCAATTTATCCAACTACAGTTCTGATTAAAAATGTACCCTGTGTTTAAAAAATATTTCTATTTACATTTCTACAGCACTACTTTTAGAGGGCACCTTTCCATATAGTTCTCATTTGATCTACCCAGAGGATGAAGGTCAAATGTTACAATCCACATCTTACAGGGCTTGGAAAATTCCGTATGACGGAGAACATCTAACTGTTTGAGTGCAGGCACTCCCACCCAAAAATCAAATCTCAAGGCTCTTCATCTAGGTAAAAAATATCACAGAATGTGGTTGGGGAAAGGAATCACATTTTTAAATAACAGTAGAGAGATCTGATACTTTACTACTGCTATCTAGTAAAATAACCTTAAAAAAGATCATTGACTTTCTAAAGGCTTCATTTTTCTCATCTAAAAAGTGAAAAATACAGACCAGATGTTTTCAGATATGCACTTAAAAACAGTTGCTAAGCCCTGGCATGTGGGCACGAGGAGACAGAAGATAAGAAACACCGGGCTCTTTCCCTTCAAGTAACTCCCCAGTGAGCAGGTGAGACAGGCTCTTGAACAGATAACCAAGAAGAGCTGTGATAACAACAAAAGGTAACAAGCTCTGGGAAGGGCAGAGAGGAGACCTCTAGCGAGGGAGTAGGCTGGGAATTTAAATCTGAATAAAGCCCTAAGGAACGAAAAGAAAAAAAGATCCAGGCAAACAGAGAAGCGGACACTGCTATCGGAGAGGACAGCGTGAACGCAGGCTCGGGGCAAAAAGGCAGCAGAGTGTGCAGCATCGACCGTGGCAGGCAGTTCAGTGCGGCCCACGTACAGCCACGCAGAAGGGAGGCAAAGCCGGAGTTGAGAGCGGAGGCCAGGCTGAGGAGGTCCTTGTGTGACGGATCAAGGGAGCTGGATTCTATGCACCAGACAACGAGCACCCGGGGCGGGGCGTGCCCAGGGGATTGGCACCCTTAGGATTTGACTTTAGAAAGATCACTTTGGCGGCCACGTGAAGGTAGTATTGCAAGTAGTTGAAGCATCTAGTTAAGAATCTATAGCAGGGATGATGAGGCATTGTTTTAGGGTAATCACAGGAAGGGACGTAAGTTTGAGAAATAAGAAGCAAAATCTGGACCAGAAGTAAATTGGAAGTGGGGTGAAGATGTGAGGGGGAAAGGCATGGAATGGATTCAGGTTTCTGCTCAAGACAGAAAAGAGATACTGAGCACAGGGGGGAAATTGATAAAATTATCTTCAGTTCAACTTCGTACACTTGAGTCCCAAAAATATCTAGATAGAGAGGCCCAGAAATCAGGGAACAGAGTAGCCCACAGCTCAGGAGAAAGGCTTGCCCTGCGGACATGTAAGTGTGGGAGTGAGCTGCAGACAGGCAGTAACTAGAACCTGAAAGGTGAACGTGCCCACCCAGGGCGAGGGTACCACGGGAGACGAGTCCTCTGCCGGAACATGGTTAGACCCCAAAATTCATGCAATGGGCAAAGGCAGAAAACCAGGAGAAAGAGGCATTCCAGAAGGAGGAGGCAGGGATGAGGGAGATCGCCCCAGGAAGGAGCTGGTGGTCACCGGTATTAAGTGCAGCCCTGATGTAAATCAATGGAAAGAACAACTGAACAGTATCTACTAGTCTTAGAAATGAAGTGGCCACTGAAGAACTTACTAAATAAAAGTGGTTTCAGAAGAAAGGAACCTGAAATTGAATGAAGATTGAAAAGATCAATTCTAAGTCCCTACCAGTTCTCACTTTATTTTTTCATATGGCTACAAGGCCTATTTTCATAACATTCCATTCAAACCCACATAGATTAAGTTTAAGTAACATTTTTAATTAATCAGGAAAAACAAGAGACTCATATTGCAGCCATCAATGGAATATACGGAATACACACACACACACACACACACACACGCACGCACACAACTTCCCAACAGACCTTAGAAATGCCTTGTAAACTAGTCCCTGTTCTCGTACACTAACAGGGACTGAGAAGCAGAGAAACCATTGGTGAAGTAATCCTCTCCTGTTCCAATTGTTCTTTCTTAGAATGTCTCACAGAAACATTTGTGTCACCCCCCGCCCCACCTAGAATATCCTTCTCTTCTACTTTAACTCATCTCCTATCCACACTTCAAGGGCCTGCTCAGCTCCCGCTCCCAGAACCCCAGAATGCCGGGACGCACAGGGCCTCACAGGCCCGTCCAACCCAAGCGCCTTCACTGCTCTGATGAAGGGCGTAAAGATCCGAGTTTCGGAGAACGACGTGCCCAAGGCCACACTCACAGCTTCTGGCGAAGCTGGCATTTGAACTTCAACCAGTGCCCGTTTTACCACACTCTTTCCCCAGTTAACTAGCATTTAAAAGATTTAAGAGCACAATAAACCAAGCTTTAAGAGGAGTTCATTTGAAACAGTGTATCCAGTGCAAGATCCATGTGAACACACTTGTGCAGACGGAGGGGCAGGCCTGCAACTTCACTTGTGGGTTCGCGGCCACTGCCTGCGGCTCCTCGCCGACACGAGCAGAGGGTGCAGATGTCGGCTAATACTCATTTCCAGGACGAGCTGACTGTCAGCCGCCGCACGGGCTCTCCCCCCGAGAGCGCAGCATTTATTCCAGCCTCTGCCAGTGCAAGTGTGGGAGCAGATGTTGGCAGATTGTGGCATACAGCATGTCTTTAAAATTTGTTGGGGTGTGAAATTTCATAAGGTCAAAAAATGCTGCATTTTGATCAGCAGATACAGGAGTTCCATACTTTTATAAATGATGTCAGACAAACCAATAGCAATCACTAGTAAAAGAGAGAAACCAAGGAACCACAGTGGCTGCAGGAAGTACCTGATAATTTATGCTGATAATGTTTTAAAGCCAGTTGCTGTCCCTCTAAAGCAAATGCTCACCCAGAGGATCTTTAAAATGAAAACGTGTTAAATCAACACAAAATACAAGATATTTGTAATTGAGAATGAGATTTAAAAAATAATTTTCTACTGAAGGAAAGCTACAACTATCCAATGAGCCTTTGGGTGGGAAAAATAATTTCCTTAACTAATCTATACATGTAAGTGTTCTCACTTTTTTATGAAGTTATATCTTTATCATTCAATTTCACAAACCCTTTGGTTTATATTTTATCTTATTCTTCAAAAAAATTAACAGATAGTATCCATAAAAAAGCCTGGAACTCTATATAATGGTAAAATGACCTTTACAACATTCAAGGACTTCCGCTATCTTGGATTTCTTGTTGTTATTATTTTACTGTATTTTTTATTATTTGTTCCTGCTTTAATCTTCCCTCATATCTTTTCCAAATGTAGCTAATAGATGACAACCTACAATGAAAACCAAAATTAAGAACTGTGTCCAGTTCAAGATTTCTGTCTCAACGGTACGGACTTTAGCTGTTAGGCGGGTTTATTTTAACTTAACGCAACTTTCAAATGCTCCGCTTTGGCTTTGAACTGAGCATAGAACACCCTCCCACTGATGACGGATCATGTGCAGTCCGAAGTGCCTGGCCGCAGTGAAACAGTAATGACCGCTGTCATTACCACCATCGTCGTCTTTCTGTTTACTCTGGGCTTGGTTCTAGCAAACACATAATTGCTCAGTAAGTTTAAATTACAAACTTTTTGTTAGATATTTGTACAGAAGAAAGATTTAACTACAAACATAAAATCTCCCCTGAAAGTGATTTCTAATGAAAATCACTCATTTCTCATTACATGCTCAGTCAGAAGAGCTACCCAAGGTTATGTTAGGAAACTGACTAGCAATGCACTAGGTCCTGCTCATCTTCAAACCAGGCTCACCGCAGCGGCCAGGTTCAAAGAGCTTCGTTTACATTTGGTATGGGAACACCTAAAGCATATATCTGGGCAAGATTACAATGATCACATTCAAGTGCTAACTATAAAAAACATTAAATAATTCATTACATAAAACCACCTATTACTGATCATCCCTATGCTACAGAATTGAAAGTCTATCACAGCTGAACATTTCTCCACTATTAAATACAAACCTAAACTTTTTAAAAGTTTCTCATGTATACTAAGGTATCTGCCACATAAGGTCATGCGAATAAATAAACACAAGGTGAATCAACGGTTACAATGAACTTACTTGCCACTGAGAAGTTGTTGAGGGGATAAGGTAAGTCCACGTCTTGAGGTTTCTCTTTATATCCTATGAATGAGCCATCTGTCTTCAAGAGGAAGTATCTTGGCCTCCAGTTTTTTATATATTCTCCTGCATGAGGAAAGCGTGCATGTTAATGCTGGAGGGAAAAAGTGAACAGCGGCTTTTATGTGAAAAATAAATTGTGGTACAATGTATGTCCTCCAACACTGGGCTCCCAAAATTAAGTTAGGCAATTTTCTTTTAAGTTAGCCTACAAAAGAAAATTCATAAGCCTGCAATTACAATTCAATAAAAACCCAAACATGTTTTGTTTTTAGTGATTTCACACTTTGATAATTCATTTGCACCATTATTTCTTCAGAGAATCATTCGTCTGAGTACACATTTTGTTCAGTTTTTCATTTTATCAGATGGTTGTTGAGAGCATGTTTTCAGCTGTTTTAAAAAGCCCTGGTAAACCATCCACACAATATTGAGGAATTTCTATGGAAAGCACTTATCGTAAGAGGCGATATGAAATAGACATTTCTCTCCCGTGCACCACTGACTGATTGTGCCACTTTTTTAAAAAGAAAGGGAAGAGTCTATTTTCATTGTTCGATCCTGATCATAACTTGTTTAAACAACATTTTATTGTTCTACACAGGAAAATAACCCGCTGCACAATGCTGTCAGTAAGTCAAGGAAATGACAGAACCGAGGCTAACGGAGCTTAAAAGCCACACGCATGCTCACACGCACACCAACACGGTAACTACAAGAGCACACAGCACAGTGCCAAGCACATAATGGCCAACAAATTCAGTGGATTTTGATAAAAGCTATCCTCCAGCTACCAACACAAAATTTTAGCAAGCGGATCCCCATTGTCTTGTGTCAAAAAGAACTCTTCATAATTTTAAGCAACAGAGGTGCTCAACAATGCCACAAGAGCTGGAAGGCCACCTGGTCTTGATTCTCAGTCCTTCACTGGATAGTTCTACCTGGCTATGCAACCTCAAAGCCTTGATCCCAGTATACAAAAATTTGGAAGCAGTTCAATGTTCCCTGCGAATCAGCTTCTCTTGACCCCAGGTAGCTAAGCTCAGACAGAACACCTGACTGCTCCCTTACCTTAGCAGATCAGTGGCTCGGCCAGCACTGCCACCGGAAGTCTCTCCGACAGAGCCCAACCTCAACCAAACCTAACACCCTCCCCTCGGCCCTTCTGCTAATGCACTGCGACTCCTGTCCCTTCACTCGCCCCCAGCTGCTGTCCCAATGCAGCTGTCACCTCCAGAGTACTCACGTCACTTTTCAGCTCAAACATTCCGACTCCTCACTCTTTACTGAGAAGTGCAAGTCTTTCTGCATAAAATGCAAGCTCCTCTGTAATCTCCCCCAACTACATCAGTGTCTTTCTTTCAACGTGGAAGCCTTCCTCTGAATCAGAGCTTCTCAGACTTGTGATCTCAGGTCTCTTTACACCCATAAATATTACTGAGAACCCTCCAAAAGTTCTGTTTATGCAGAGGAAATCTATAATGTTTACTGTGTTAGAAACTGAAACAATTCCTTTATTCCCTCTTTTAAAAATAACAAACTCATTACATGTCACAAATATTTTTATAAAGAAAATTACATTTTCTCAAACAGAAAAATTAGTGAGAAGAGTAGAGCGGCTTTGCATTTTTGCAAATCTCTTTAAGGTTTGGCTTCAAAGAAAATGGCCGGATTTTCCTATCTGCTTCCGCATTCAATCTGCTGCAGTGCGCTATTTTCATTGAAACATAGGGAGAAAACCTGGCTCGGACAGACGTGTAGCTGGAAAACGGGAGAGTGTTCAGAGAGCTATGGTTCTCTCTCTTTGATACTACACCAGCGTTTGACGAGTGGTAGTTTTCAGGAAGATTAACTGCAGTGTGCACCTAGAGACCATCACCAGTGTGAAACGCCGCTGGTCTGGGGGGCACTGAATGAATCTTTTACACTGTGCATGACTGTGTAATGAGACACACTGGTCTTTTAGAAAACGCTGGTCCCACGACCCTCCAAATATTGACACGTTTCACTGTATAATCACATTCATCATCACGGCACATCTCATCAGAGAAGTACGCCCTGGGTGCGGTAAGGCTCACGTTGGCAGATATGTTCTCCAAAGTTTGCATTTTTGTCTGGAAACTTGACTTTCACCATTGGCAGTAAATACTGTCAGTTCTCCTTGCTGCGATGTGCTCCAAGTGCCCAGCCTGGACCTGGCCACCTGACAGATGCTCAATAATTTACTAAATGAATGAATTCTATGATATCATACAATGATATGTATATCATACAATTCTATGATATATTAGCAATTAGGAAAATGCAGTTGAAACCACAATGAGACACCACCTCACACCTGTTAGAATAGCTCCTTCAGTAAGACAAGTAGTAAGTGCTGGGGAGGGTGTGGGGAGTAAGGAGCCCTCATGCACTGCTGGTGGGGAGGCAAACTGGTACGGCCACTGGGGAGAACAGCACAGAGGCTCCTCGAAAAATGAAAAACAGAGTGACCACGTTTGGACTTTTCAGATGCTGAAGTCATCAGAAGGTGCCAAAGCAGGAGCTATAGCAACAGTGTCTAAGGACTAAAAATGGGCCGATTCGAATGTTTAAAAGGCCTTACACCTAGAATGAGTAGGAAATGTCTACACTTGTCCAGACATACAAATGGGGGAAAGAGCCTCAGAATAAACTCAGCCTGTGCCCTCACAAAGGAATCACGTTGACGGGCACCTGACTCCACTCTCAGGCGAGGTGGTTTCTGGAACCCGGTCTTAACTGTGACCTCACGAGAGGTAGAAGGTAGAGATATGCAGTGAATTCTGAACTGGCTGGGAAGAGAGAGAGATCTACTCCTTCACCTACTGGAGGCCCAGACTCAGGCGCCGTGGGCTACGCTAAGCGCATGCAGAGGTGGAGGAGCTGAGCTGCTGCAGCAGACACCGACACAATCCAGCTGAAAAGACACCCATACCATGCAGCACTGTTTTCCACAAAACCCAGAAAACCACGATCATTCAGAATTCAACTGCACGAAACACAAGAGTCATTTTAAAAATACACTCCTTTCCTGGGATAAATTATAAAGAAAACAAAAGATGCTGGTTACCGACGGTTATACTGCAAACTCAAATTCTCATTTCAGTAATGAACACAGGCCATACAGCTTTTTAAATTACCAGGGGCCACTCACACTGGCTGTAACACAGGCTTCAAAATGTAAGCGCTCCCTAGGAAGAGGGTGGAGGCATCCTTGCATGCGTGTGTGTGGGAAGAGGCCCCACTGTTTTGATGGACCATGAAGCCGAAACAATGATAAACTTAGCTCCCCTGAGAATATTGCTTTTTAAGTATATTTTACTCTGTATTTAATCCCTATCCAAGTTTTTAAGATGTATTATATTTGTCCTTATCATCTCTGAGAGGAAAAATGAATAGATGATAGCCACACTTAATTCATACATTGATTTAAAAAAGAAAAACACTCTAAATAGAACCTTCATTATTTACAGAGAGAGAGTCACTGGTATTTACACTTTCCAAACAAAAAACTTTATCCAAAACAAACGCTAGGGCGTGTGAAAGAAGTTACAGCAAATTGTTGCGGTGAATACGGGGCCAACACTCCTCTCCTTTTGAAGGAGGCCCAGCTCTTCTCCTCCCCAGCATGGCTAAAATCCCCCAGGTGAAGTGCGGCTGTGCTTAACCAAGAGCCAGGATTCTGGAGGTGCACAGCCTGGGTTTGCACCCTGACTCCTCCCCCACCTGTTAGCTGCAGGAACTTGACCGCTCCACTCCGCAGCTACCTCATCTGAAAGGTGAGGGCTGTAATAGCACCTGCCTGTAGGGTATTTATAGGGACATAACGTAAAAAGCACTTAGAACAATACCTGGCACACAGCAAGTACTACATAATGTTATGTTTAAGGGGAGCCGCTATCACTTCTAGTAGTATCATTCATAATCCATCTCCAAGTTCACATTACTCAGGAGTATTTGCATAAATGAGGCAACAAGCAACAATCAGCAATAAATTTACTCCATCAGCAAAAATTTAAAAAGTCTCATTAGTTAGTGTCAGATATATAAGACTTGAATCCTATCTAAAGAAATTAATGAAAAGGCCACCCAATATCAAAACACTCTTCTGATTTCTTACTTTTACTTCTTTTTTAAGATAGAAGTAGGATATCAGAGCAAAAGTAGGTCTCTCTGAATTGTTTTTAATAAATAGCATACACAGGGTATAATACCATGAAAATTCAAGTATTTTAAAAAATTCCAAAGAACTTTAAACCAAAAAAGTGGCACCTTTTAGTAAAAATTAAGGTATATGACTTTAAGAAATCATTAATCTTAAGTACATGTTTTCGTGGGTCAATTTTTACCTAAGACAAAAAAGGTTTAATGCTAATTTCAGTATAAAATCTGTTCACTTTCATGGTTCACAATGTAGTAAATATGTAGTTGCTTGTTGACAGATACCAACTAAATTTACACAGATGAACTACCTACCTACAGAAAGATAGCAGAGTATTTATCCACTAGTGGATTTTCATAAAATAAGTATTAGCACCATAAACAAATAAATACTGAATATATAAATAACAATAGCGTGCTATATATTAAATATCCTGAAGCAAAATATAGTTACTCACGAAATACATGAAAAAATAATAAAACATTTGCAATCTTTGAAACTGTTACATTTTTACACAGTGGACCACGATCCCATGTTCCAATTAGTCCTAAGTAAAAGCCCTATTAACATCTCTCATGGAGCAGGAAAAATGTGTTTCTCACTGAATTGCCATCATCCCCATTTACATGTGTCTTGGAAACAATGCTGAAGAATTTTTTCTATTACCTACACTGCCAGGAGATAGCATCGTAATTTCTCGATTGCACAGGGACCATCTGAACTATAGCTTTTAAAAAACAGGAAAATGCTTTTGCATATTGTTGGTGCTTAGTAAATATATGTTGATTAGGTGTTCCAGGTCCTGCCAACCTAAGTTTTTAGGCGATCATTCCCCTTTTATTAAGACCTTTCAACTACGTCCTTTTCTTGCCCTTGGGCAACT